TGCAGAGTCTACAGAAGCTAAATGAGAATGGAAGCACAGCTGAGGGCCAGTGCTTTCCTACCCTAAGTGTAGCTTTCTCTTGAGTACCACTTTGTTAGAGTGCAGATGACAAGGATCGTGATTGGTGACCATCCTCACCCCACCCCCAACTGGCAGTCATGAGCTGCTTTTCAGCTTCCATGGCAGCCAGCATGCAGGCATGATAAGGAGGTCCTGACAATCAGACACAATGCACAGTTCAGTGTCCAATAAAGCAATGTGAAGAAACCACTCTTGGCCACTGTCATAAACACAGCTTTTACAGACCGCAAAGGCACAGGTTCTGATACCAAATGATCAGAGGCAACTGGGGGCTGGGTCTTCATTGCTACAGTTTTAAAGAGCGGTTTGGCCATTATTCTTCCCTGGCTGCCTCTACTTTTGATTCATCTGCTCTTTCTAGATATTCTATAAGATACTCCAGGTATAAAGAAGTATGTTTTCTGTAGTATGCCTCTATGATTTAGAACTAAGAACCATGCCTATGTATAGTGCTGGCGGAGTGCACACTTGAAATGCAAAAACAACTGTAAAAGATCCTTCAGTGTTGAAAAGACCAAAGAACTGGTCATTAGCTCTGGAGGTCATCTGCACGAAACCTCCAAATCAAAAACCAAGACTCTGTGACATGTTTCTTTCCCCAGAACATTATTCCAACTGCAATAATGAGCTCTGTTAAACAGCTCGTGGTCTTAAGTACATTACTATATTTGAATTGCCAAGTTGAAGCATTCTAAATTGGTAAAAATCAAGTACAGCTGGATGTCACTTATCTTGGTTTGCTGAAAGCCTCTGGAGATTCTGTGGATAGTGATTCTAAACCTGTACAAAGTGTTTATTCGAGGCTCCAAAGCTCACATTTAAGCCCAAAGTGGAATGAAGTTCACTGCCTACTGTGAAAGGATTAAGGAACAGTGTGGCTTGCCTGTTTCCTTTCCTGCTCTTGGCTAAAAAAGCAGCAAATGGACACATTCATTCTGTAGCTTCAGAGAAGACAGCTGCTGCCACTCGGCGGCCACAATTCTCTGAATACAGTTCAGTCCAAGGCTTGCTTTCTAGTCCAGTGGTTCTTCAAGAGGCTCCTAGAACACATCAACATCTCAGAACTCGGTGGTAATACAAATTCCCTGCCTCCACAGGCGAGCCACTGGATTAGAAACTCTTTGAGTAGGGTTCAGAATCCTGTTTATAAAGCTCTCTCATCATGCTGATGTGTTCTAAAGTTTGAGGACCACTTTCTCTGGCAGTATCACTAAACCACTCCAATTAAGAGGATCCACTTTGGAGACGGGATGTACTTCCTGACAATACACTTCAAAGCTTCAAGAAGAACTTCAAGGGAGTTCTTCCCTTCTAGAACCCAACTTCAAATGTGGTCTAAACTCACTTCATCTTCTACAGAGGAAATACAGGAATCTTCCTTACTGGAATTTAATGCAGAAATAACTTCTCCCGAAATTGTCAGATACTAAGTACTTTTCAACCTTTACCTCAGGCAAAATAATCCAGGTCCTTTTACCTTTATTTATAATTACTTATGAAAGGGAGCAAAGCCCTGTGGACTGAACCAAAGGCCCTTACATTAAGCTACATTCCCGACCTATTTATTTATATTTTGAGGTTGGGTTTGAGTCACTTGATCACCCAGGTTAGGCTTGACTTTACAGCCCCCTGGCCTCAGTGTCCTAGTGTGCTGGGATTACTACATTCTGCTTATAATACCTTTTAAAACTTGTCATTACCCCTATCCACCTCCAGAAGAAAGTATACTTCATTGAACTGAACAAGTGATTTGAAAACATCCATCACTGAACCAGAGAAACTACTGCCACAACACCTAGGTTTTAATATATTCTTTTATAACATGTACTTTAAAAATAAAAACCAAATTTTAAGTCGGTTCTTTCTAGATACTCTGATTCCTCTGTCTCACCATTGTTTTTCCTAGCAAAAAGTTTTAGTTCATTGTAAGGTCACTAAGTATTTCACATACATTGGATTAAGCATTCTGATTCTCATTTGCCCTATTAAATAAGAATTGACCAGATGGATATTCCTCTATTCTCTCTCCTGAGCAGGTTTTAGTTAATTAAAAATGATTATTTTTACTACATATTCTATATATCAGCCAGATGTTACCTGTGGTCATTTCTGGAAAGGATCACTTGGTGGTAGTTATTAAATACATTATTTTCCTTTGGGAAGGAAGACTCCCGAGTGTGATCAGGAAAATAAAAGTAGAGATTGATTTCACTTCATATGCATTTCCTCATACCAAGACAAGCGTAACATTTCATTCTCTTTGAAACAAAACCTACTCAAATTATTCCTTCTTCTTTATAGCTCTGCACTCCGGCTCTATTTATGTTGAGTCAAAAAAACTGTCAGGTTGATGGAAGAAAAATTAATGTTGGTTTCCTTCTGTACTACAAGAGTAAGTTAATTTTCCTAAAATGATTTGGTTTTTATAAGACAGCTATGCCACACACGGCAAAGCATTCTGCTGGGTCAGGACAGGGACTGCAGCATGAGACTGTAGGCACACGCCCACATCTGTCATACGCCCCACTTTTACACAAGTCTCCTTGGGAGGTATTTTTGTTTTGTTTTGTTGAGACAGGGTCCTTGCTATGTAGTTCAGGCTGATTTCAAACTCACCATGCAGCCCAGGCTGGCCTTGAACTTGCAGCAATCATCCTGCTTCAGCCTCCTGAGTGCTGGGACCACAGGCATGTGCTACTACATCCAGCTTGAAGCTACTTTTCATATGAACTAATTGCTCTGAACTTCTCTTTAGCATTGAGATAACCCAGGATGAGCCAAAGGATGTAAAAATTTGTGATAATTCATTTACTCCCCGTGTGTACACAAATTAAATGAAAACTGTTTCTTCCTAAAATAACAATTAAATTCAACCTTACAACAAATTCAGATGTGGAAGTTACTCAAAATTATGAAATTCTGACAGATGAAATCAATATACTACCATGTTATTACTTAAACTGAGATGGGTGGACTTCCCCCAAACACCCTTTAGAAGAATCCTAGAGACAAAAATAGGCCACCTGCTGACAAACATAATTACCTATGCAGCAGAATGTAAAAACAAACAGCAAATGTCCAATTCCAAAGACCTGGCCACACTTCTTGAAGTATTTCAACCTGTGATGGGGATGAGAGCTTTGGCCTCAGTTCTGACCTTGCACAAGTGACTTCCTATTAAGCCCCAAATTATATGATTGGTTTTTAAAGTAACTTTAAGGGCTCATATACCTTACTGAACACGTTCAACAATTTTAGGGAGAAGAGGGGCAGGTTTCTCCTATTAACTTCTAAGCTTTAAACACAGAACACACCAGTTCACTTTCTGATTGTATTAAGCATCTGTTCCCAATGTCCTGCAGTACACAAATCTGCTTTAGAGTAAATCACAGTCACCTCACAAATGACCTCCTCCTCTTATATTTTCGTAGCAATCAACATTAAAGTCGCCTGTGTTAGAACTGATTTCAAGAGCCAGGTAAGAAGGGGTACGCATCCCTGATGAGGAGCCCCACAGTCCTTGGAATAAATTGTCCCTCAAAATGTAATATTACTTATCTTTGGATCGGGCCAGGCTCATCACTCTCTAATAGGCTTGAGAGACTCACCAGTCTTAATTTCCTACGTGCATCTATAATTGTCCGCAGAGGTCAATTTCCGTGGATGCCTCATATAAATTAAAATTGAAGATAATGATGCCTGTCCACTTGATCAACTAAAATGACCAGGTGGGTTTAATGGGAGGAAAACAGAAACCCCAGTGAAATTAGAATAGCTTCAGAGGTGATAGAATGTAATTATTTTTCTGTAGTGTTTCTTCTCCAAAGGTGACTGGCCACTGCACTGGCGGGCATTTGGGCCAGCCTATTACGAAGTTGGCTATGGCATTCAGAGCCATGAACCATACCCAAAGGCACAAGTCAGGAGTCAGCATTCTGCAAAGACTCTGGGGAAAAGCAGGATTTCTTTTGTGTTCTTATTTTACTCATTTTCTTTACAGTTAAAAGGGGTTTTTGAGGGATTTGTGTAACTGACTCCTGAGAGGCAAATTCTAACTTCAGTTGCTATGAATGTTTTTCTAGTCATAAAGTATTTTTTTAGATTTGTTCTAATTATCCTTGGGATACTATGATATTAGGTCAGGAAGAGCACTGATATCACCTGCCCAACTCCTTTTTCAGACCAGAAAGAGGTCAGGCGATGTGAAGAGATGGACCACGGTCCCCAAGCTAGAAAGACAAGGCAAGGACTGGGCTAGAATTGAGATGAGAGACAATGAAACCCAAACCGACTCCCAATCCAGGGTTTTTTGCTTACAAGTACCTGGAGAGTCCTTCAGGGAAGTACAAAAGACTTGTAAAAGTCACCATTTAAAGAAACTTAGACTTTATCCTGTAGTGGAGGTGCCAACAAGTGACAAGGTTGAAGGAGAGAGGAGGGGAGAGACAAAGGACCTGACAGAGCAAAGGCAGAGCACCAGCTTGGTTCTCAGGCACCCAACTGTGCAAAGGTCACACTGGGCCACCGTGGGCGGTCTCTGCAGCCCACCAGGCTGGGGTCTTAACTTCTCATTTCCAGCAGCCTGTGCCAGGTTGCTTAAATTCTGATCCTCAGTCCTTCATCTGTACAAAAGGATGATAATATCGGCACTTACTATTGTGAGGATTAAAAACCTTACTGTAGTTACCTTAGTATTATAGGGATTAAGGAAGGATTAAATAAAGTGATATTGGTAAAGAGCTTAGCACATAGTAGTACACTTAGTACTACTGTCACTGTTTGCTGTTTTCTTCCTGTTCACTATGCCAAGAAAAATCTTAAGTTTCAGAATACAGACATAAGTTACACTCGTTAGTAATGAACTGGGGTGCTTCACCTGAGCTATATCCCCAACAAACCTACAACAGACATTCAACAAGTCATTGATAAAACCTCTATGTTTAATGGATCAATTTTTCAATATGTATTATCATAATGTAAAGTGATACAATGGGTACAAAGATTTTTTTTTAAGTAAACAACTATGGGAGAAGTCTTTTATTTAAAAAACAGAATGACACTCATAGTTTCATATAACAATATTGGAAAATTGACAAGTAAAACAGTTAGTAAAAAGAAATATCTCCTCTGCAAAAATCAAGGCTGAAATTTCATGGCAGGGAATTAGTGCAGAGCTGGTGGTTCCCAGGGTCATCACGGAAGCAGCGCAGTGGTGTAATTTCATTTGCTAGGTGCACTTCCTGGTTAGTTTCATTTTTTCCCCTTTAGAATTTGATGGTGTCTAAATAATCATGAACATTTTACCCAGAGTTTTTTGGAGAACACCTCCACAAAATTAATGGTGTAGATTTTTTTGGTAATTAAAATCATTTCAAATGTACTTGAAGTGAGGGCCAGACATTAGTTTGCATTTTCTTTCATTCTGAGGTTTAAGTTCTGTAGAAATTTTAAGAGAAAAAAGTCACTTATCCATTCTCCTAATTTTTACTGGCTAGCAATATGCAATATGCATAATGACTAGCAATTATGCAAAAAAAATCTCTTTTTTTAAAAACACTGTTGCAAAGAACTTCTCTGAGGCAGGTTGTTGATTTAGGACATCGGCAGATCATGGTAAGCCGCATATCTTCCAGTCACATGATAGTAAATCTGTGAAGAAGATCAAAGGTTAGTTCATCAATAATTATTATAAAATTATATCTATCAGTTAATAAGTATATTCTCATATAATAATTGAAATACTGGCAGGCTGAAGCAGGAGGATTGCAAATTTGAGCCCAACCTGGGGAGTTAGTAAGACCATCTCAAGTCAAAAACATTGCTAGGGATGTGGCTGGTCATAAAGCTAGGTTCAATCCCCAGGGAAGGAAAATCTGTTTCAGCAGAATCTCTACCCACACTATTTTAAGCGAATGTCTATTTGAAGGAAGACAGAGGTTTAGAGATGATGAGAGAAACCAGAAGGGTTTTTACCACCAGTTCTCCATTTCTTTCTCAATAATCACTTCTCAGCTCCCTGCAAGGACATAGTTAATACTCACCTGCCGCTCAATGTCCGAAAGCAGAGAACTGGCACCTATTCGAAAGAGTTCGGGCTTCAACCACTCATCCCCTAGCTCCTCCTTTATCAGAGAGAGCCATGCCAGGGAGTCCTTGGCAGTGCGGATGCCTCCTGCAGGTTTAAAGCCCACCTAAAGGGGAAGACAGAGAGAAGAACCATGACCATTATTATCAGAATGCTTTAAAAAAAAAAAATCGGCACTACGTTGATAGGGAATCATCATTTTTTTTCTTCGGTCTTTTTCACTTCATCCAGCAAAAGAGCTTCCATCACTGATGCCCATTCACACTGCAAAATAACTTTTCCAGGATTAATGAGAACAATGTCACTGCTTCTGAGGAGACAGTAATGAGGGCTAATAACCCTCATTAACATTTCACTTATTGCAATGTCATAACCCTCAAACATCGTTAGACCATAGCTGTGAATGTGGAAGAGACAAGAATGGTGTCAATAAATAGGAAAGTATATCCCAGAAACCCATTCAGTCTACCTTTCTACAGGTACACTTCTATAGGAACCTTCATTGTGAGTTCAAAATTAGAGGTGTATTTAAAATAAGAGACCAGAATCTATGAGCCCCCAAGATCATCCTACCCAAACTGGCAGCCATCCAGCAAGGAGAGGTACCAGTGGTTTTAATCTCCTTAATTGTAAGGATTTCTTTCTGAGTTGTAGGTAGAGAGTTCTGTAAAGCAGTCAGGCCAGTAACACAAACACAATAGAAAAAGAGAGCACTTGAGATTTCTGAAGTCTTTAAGGGTGCCCATAAAACAACACAATTCGGTTGATAAGTTTTTAAATAATATCCTGTGTCTGTTAGGAAAGGAAAACTATGTTCTGTTTGTGGTAAAAGCCTGTTCATTTGGAATTTCACGTTTAGAACCCTGACTATCCAGTGGAACCGATAATCTATAGCTAAGAGCAAACAACACTCGTGTAATCCAAGTACTAAAGCTCTTACATTCAGAGCTACTCATTGGCAGGTAGTACAGCAGGAGGTGGCTGCCAACAGAATGCAAGAGCAGGGAGACAACACATACGGGGTCCTATTTAATCAACTCACCCAGAATCCCACGCAATGAACCTGAAGCGTACCATCCCCCAGCCACAGCCCAGCAATCTCTCCTCCTTAGCTTCTGAATCTCCCAAATGCACACCTTCCTCTCTGCTCTTACCACAATGCTCAGTCCAGACCTTCACCAGTTCTCATCAGTAAGCCTAACTGATTTCCTCTGCTCAATCATACAACATCACATGGTCACACAGCACTTACTTTGCAGAGGGGAGGTCAGTACTGTGGATTGAACCTGGTCCCTTTTGCATGCTGGACAAGCACTTTACTACCAAGCTACATGCCCTATTGTTTAAAATTTTATTTGGACACAGGGTCTCATTAAGTTGTCCAGTTTGGTCTCAAACCTTATTCCTCCTGTCTCAGCCTTCCAAGTAGATGGGATTATAGGAATGCACCACTATGTCTGGTTAGCATTTGTAACCATGTCTGCTATTACTCTGGACCCCAAACAATGACTCCCTAAGGCAGTGGGGGCTGAGGGGATAAGCAGGATGAGACTATTTTTTGAAATGAGGCTAACCCCCCCCATCAATTAGCCAATATTAGCATACATGGTAATCACAGCAGCCTTTCTGTCCGTCAGGCAGGGGCGCATACAGATTTTCTATATAGTTCAGTTTGTGTCAGCAAGTCTATTGGCAGTGTTTCCAAAAAGAGGTTCACACATAAGTTAATCTTTTTTTAAGGGACAGAATATGGAAAATATAAATCTATAATGAAATCAGTTATGAAGTATTAAACCTCTGCTTCTCAGGAGTGACACTAATCACGGTCTAGAAGGCAGCCTATCACACGGTAAAACACCGCTTAAATCAACGATGTAGAGACTCTACAGGCAGGGCTGCCCATGCATCTTGTCAACAACCTAAAAACAGTTGTATCCGACTTGCAGACCCATACACTGAATGGGACTGAGAGAGCACAATTTGACTTGTACCCGTCCTTGTCTTGTAAGTGGACTGGGCTTTGTTTGTGAAGAGGAAAGAATTCATACAATCGAAAAGAAAAGATGGAAAGAAAAAAAATATCCCTCCTTCTGAAATCTGGAGTGTAACACTGAGCACTTGAAACATTCTCTGCAATTCTTTGCTGGTCTGAGAATGTTCCTGGAAGGGAATTTATTCATTTTTGCATTCTAAGCATTTAACACAGGTTAACATGGCACATGGGTCACTACTCAGAAGATATCTGTTGGGTCCCCATGGCATTTATTAACCCTGGCAATGGAGCTTATGAAACACAGATGCCCAAGGAAGCCCTAACACCCAGCAATGCCAGAGATGGCAGCTGACGCATCTCTATGGATAAGGGCTTCACATCTGATTTTGATGCTCTTCGGCCCAGTGTGAGAATCACTGGTGTACTGAACAGTGAATTTTACCAACTATATAGAAAACCAATAAATTTCTTAGTTTTATTTCTTTTGTTAAAAAAAAAAAAAAAAAACTTGTGTGGATCAGTGCAGAAAGATGATCAAGCAGAGGTTACTCAAGTTGGATCAGCTGTCATCTGCAGGCTACAATACATATCTTAGCTATTTGTACTCATGATTTGAGGTTATTTGGAGGGAGAAACTGTGGAAAGTGTTTATTTCCTCTCACAACCAGGACAAAAGTCTCCAACTGTATAATAAACTGAAGCTATAGTTACACACAAAGTCATCACATCCAGTTGGCAAAGGATTAAAGGACTTTTTGGGGTTCCATTTGGCAGAAATCAAGAGACTGGTTTTGAAAAGATGTCTCTCAAGAAGGAAAAGCCTCATTAAATACACACACACACACACACACACACGCTACCTTTCTCTCCAATGTTGTTAAAAAATCCTTTGAGATAATTTGCAGCTAGACAAGCAATTTGAAGTGAAAAGGAAAATCCAAACACATCCAAAAACACCTCATACACATTTTTCCTTTTAACTTATGTTTCAAAAAATATGTATTATTTTTCGAAAAGCTGACAAAAGCTAGCATATACCCTCCTCAGCTTAATAGTCTTCCAAAGAGCACATCCAACTGCCATAAAACGCAAAAATGGATATTTAATTCAAGAGCTATATAACGTCTAGCTACCTTTTTCCTGCTGTTTCACAGCATTTCATTATTTTGTTTAATAAGTTCATCTCCTCGAGAATTTTCTCTTCACCTCATATTATTAAAAGTAATAAGTTTTTCTGGACCGGGGGTTTCCCAACAGAAAAACCAATTTATGTGTGTCCTTCAATAATGACAGGAAAAGATTATTTCCCATTATATTGCATACTTTTCATATCACCACCACAGCTTATCATTCAATAAATGTTACTCTGCAATTCTTTCCATTCCTCAAGGAAGTTTAATTTCTGCATTAACCTGTTTTTGCTGGCCAACGCCTTGCCAGAAAGCCTCTGTGTCGCAACAGAATTAGTTCGTTAAAGAACCCATTTAGGAATCTCTTGTCAGTGATAAAATTGTCTTCGGTTAATAAAAGGACATAAAGTGAGTTTACATCTTGATCACACATTCTCCCCCACTCACTTTCTGTTAATCGCACAGATTCCCCTATAAATGTATTCTTTCATAATGAGAGGTAAATTAAACATTTATCTTAATAAAGGTAACTCATTCACACCTTCTGCATATAAAGACAGTTTCGTGGTGGCTGTAATGAGCATTATAAATAACATTATCCTTAAAGAAAGATTTTCTGGCAATACTATACCTTGTTTCCAGTTTTCCAGAAGAAATCTCTAATGGCCCTTAGCATTACTATTGCTACTGGGAAGGTAGCATTTACTGTTTCTTTTCCGGTGGAGGTCTTAATAAAATCTGATCCTAAAACAAAAGCAAGAAAAACTCCTGTGTTAATTAAAACTTATTTTTTTTTTACACTTAAGTCAGTGAATGAAATGAGCTGTATAAATTTTCCCCCCGAGGAATACAACTTTAATTATTTGAAAAACTAATACCATAATCTACCTTTAAAATGATTCTGTCCATGTTTTCTTTCTTTTACCACCAGAAAAATGAAGTTAGGCATCCAATGGGATCTTACGGACCTCTGGCCCCCTTGCCTCCATATTCCCACATCGTCAATTAAAATCAAGTTCTTGCGTTTGATGAATGATTGAGATGAATACAAAACCATTTTATGCCTTGTGGTTAACACCACAGACCATGACACTTTACTACAACACGGGAGGCCCATGCATTTCTCCCTCATTCTCCTTGCTTGACAGGAAGCATACAGAACAGAGGAATCACCATCAAGTGATTTCTACCGCCTTGTTCATCAATGAAAATGCTATCTGCCAACCAGATGAGGATTTTCACGAAAGACACCATGCTATTTCTTATTCTGCAAATCTTTTAAACAACGTTTCTCAAAAATATCTTAAACCTATTTAGGTAACTTAACAGAATAGCCTATGGAAACAAGGAAATAACAGGGATAGTTTAGATGTACTGAAAACACTACGTATTTTATTTCTAGGTGCTTTACTGGTATTAATTCTGTTGACCCTAGAACTATTGCTCACTAATACTAATGCAAACATTTTAAAAGAGGAAATGGTTGCACAGAAAAGTTAAGTAACTCACCTGTACTCGTAGAGTCAGGGTGTGTGTGTGTGTGTGTGTGTGTGCCTGTTTTATTCAGGGTTTGCAAGGAAAATGATTTAATACAAGACATATAATTTAATTATTTTATAAGTCATCCAAAGAGGCAAACATAAAAAAGTGCAGGAGATCTATCCATACACTAAAGACCCAAAGAATCCAGCCAAGGGCCTGTATCTCGTAACAATGTCCTACATGAGTCCAGTTGAAGACCTAGAGCCCACAGCAACGCTCTCCATGAGTCCAACTGGAAGCCTGATGCCCACAATGTCTTATGCAAGTCTGTTTCATAGATCTGTGCTGGGAAGGCCCAGAGGTCAGCAGAGGAAGCTGGAAAGTCTCTGACAGCGGGATGAAGGATCTGTGCCAGTAGGCTGAAGGATCTGCACTGCAGCCAGAAAGCAATGCTTCCTTAAAGTAAGGACCAAAACTCCACCAAAAAGTATCACAGCCATCCTCCGGAACAATGAGGTCCCGAGCTTCTCTGACAATGAGAACAGTCAAGTACTCATCAGGAAAGAAGTTTAGCAAGTCCTCCGGGAGAACCAGTGGCAACAAGAAAACCAACAACACAGCTCTTTCTTTGCAGTGCTTCTTTCATCTTGGCAACAATCCTCAGGTAACACCATGCTGATTCAGTTCAGCTGGGCGTTACAGGCTGATCACCAGCTGTCAATCCACCACACAGTCTAATAGAAAATCTATGTTCCATGCGGCTATCTAGCCCTGAAACACTCAAAATATGAACCATGTATAGGCACCCTAAAACTACAGGGCAGGGTGGGGTGGGGGTTGGGGACACTCAAGTTCTAGTGTTGTCTTGCATCATACAGTGATTACATATTTTGTCTATTACATATTTTGGGGAAAAAAAGCTAGAGGAAAGGATTGTGAATATTTTTACCACAAGAAAGTGATTACTGTATGAGGAGATAGTTGTTTACTAGATCTCAACATTACCTAGTGTGTATATGTACCAAAACATCTAAATAATTAAAAAAAAAAAAAGGAGACTTTCAGATCTATGTCAGATCAATAGAACTAGAATCCAACATAAATAAGGGTCCTGGATGATTTTTGTACACATTCACTGCTTGAGTCCATAGAATCTATGAGACCGAACATAAAGCTTGAAATGGTGGATTCACTTTGTCAATTTGAGAAGTCTAAAATTTTAACTAAGTGACTCAACAGGGAGCCAGGGGCCTCACTTTGTAAATATCCTTAGTCCTTCAAGAAGGGAACACAGAGATGGTGTAGATACAAAGGACCCACCTTAGGGCTTGTAGCCTACGCACAATATAAGGGAGGTAGAGGCTTGCTCTCTACTTCTTTGCTCTTGTTGCTTTTGCTGTCATCCCCAGCCATGAACTGTTTGCCCCTCTGCCATGCAACTCTGCCTTGGAACCAGCTGATGATGGCCTGAAGCCTCCACAAACTGTGAGCTAAATAAACCTTTCCTCCCTTAATTTTGAGCATTGGGTATTTTGTCCCAGCAATGAGAGAAAAGTAACTACGACAAAGCTACTATTTCTGAGATTTATCACAGATTCATCAAAAGAAAAAGGAAGAAGTAGCCACAACATTTCCCACCAGTTTCAGATGGTGAAAATACCTCCACACCTATTCTGTATGATGAAACGCCTAAATAGACACACCTCAACCACGCTGTGAATAGGCTTGTAGAAAATATAAAAACAAATTGTTTATGTTCTTCCCCTGAAAACCATGTACTCTACATGCAGGTGGAAGACTGCAGAGCCCTGGTCATCACTTGGTGAGATAGAGGACAGGAGATCTGGTTTCTAGCTCTGGCTCTCATAGTTACCTTGCAAATTCAATCTCCTTATCATCCTCATTTGTACAAAAATAGGTCTAGAAAAATTCCCATTTTCTTCACAGTACCACACAAGGCATCAAAAGAGACAATCTATGCAAAAGCATCTTGAAAACAGTGAAGGATTTCACAAATATAAATGAAGCAAACGACTTAGGTAGGTTTGTGATCTGAGTAATAATCATGGAAACTTGATACATCAGAGCTGGTCACCTTTTCTTTAGGTCTGTAGGCAAATTAAAAGAAATGCAGACAGGCTTGCCAATTACGCATTCACTCAACAAAAACTCACTTGCTGAGTATTTACTCTGTGCGAGACTCTGCTATAGATGGTAGGAACAGACCAATAAACAAAACAGTTATATCAGCTAATGTGTCAAGTGGCAATAAATGCTATGGGCAAAAGTAGCACAAAGTAATGAGACAAAGAACGAAGAAGTTGGGGAAAGGTAGATGTACTTAAAGAGTCATGACAACATCTATGATTTGTGATATTCAAATCAAGATTGAGTGAAAAATTTGGGGGCAAACAGGGAAACAAAGTGTGAAGGCTTTAACGCATACATATGCCAAGTCCACCCACACATGAATAAATGAATGCACTATAGAACTGATGTCCAGTCCCTACAATATACAGATAACACGATGAAAAAGATGGCACTAAAGCCCCTGTATAGATATAAGTAGGTGATGGAAACATCCCAAAAGAATTCATGAAATGAAGGTGTATTTTCCTACTCTGTGACACTAGGACACTGAATATCATCTGAATTCTTTCAACTGCCTTAGAAGAGGTTGCTAATGGGTCAAACTACATTTACAAGATTTTTTATAAAAAAAAAACTGTCACTCAAAAATCATACCACCTGAAATTAATCATAAGCACCATCCTCCTTTGAAAGAGCTGGAGAAGCTGGACAGAACATCTACCATTACACAGTAGTAGCTTTCCTTGAAAGACATAACCACAGTTCATAAGGAAAAATATGAATAGTCTGAATAAGCCTATACCTATTTAAGAAATTATTTTAAATTTGTTATTTATAGGGATAATAACAATAACCCTTCTTTCATTTGTGATATAGATAATTTGTATCTTCTTTTTTATACTTGGTCAGCCAAGCTCAAGATTTACTAATTTTACTGATCTTTCCAAAGATTAGGCATTTAGTTTTTTTTGCCTCTAATGTTTTAGTTTCCCATTTGATTATTTTTGTCCTAATTTCTATTTGCTTTCCTTCATCTGCTTTAAGCTTAAATTGCTCTTCCTTCTCTACTTTCCTAAGTTGAAAGATTACATTATTCATTTTAGACAACTCTGTTTTTCTAATCTATGCATCTAATACTATAGATTTCCCTCTTTGGACTGTTTTTGTAGCCCAATTATGCTAATTTGGATAATTTTCATTTACTTCAAGATACTTTAAACTTTCTCCTCAGACTTTTTTTGATGATGTTATGTAACCTCCAAACATCAGGGAATTTTTTTTCCACCCATCTCTCTGCCATTGATTTCTAGTATTATTTATCATGCTATAAGAATACTTTGTACACTTTCTAGTCTTTTAAATTTTTTAGGTACGCTATATGAGCTAGAAGGTGGCCTTCTTCATTAACAATCCCCGTGAATTTGACTATGTAATCAGCTGTTGCTGGACGGAGTTTTCAATAAACGTCAATTTAATCATGTTGAACAACAGTGCTATTCAGATCAACCATGTCCTTTTATTATTCTGTTTGCTTGAGCTATCATTTACTGAAAGAAGGTTTTTAAAATCTCCACCTATATTTATTCCTTTTCAATTGACTCTGACTTTGCCTCACATATTTTAATGTTCTGTTCCTAGGTACAGATGTAGTTAGAATTGTTAAGTGCTCTGGAAGAAATAACTCCTTTATCATTATTTTAACACTTTCATTAATGCCCAATAATGTTGCTTTATCTGATGTCTACTTTGTTTGAAATTAATATAATTACTTCTGATTATGAACTTGGTATGTCTTTCTCTGACTCTACTTCTGAGCTTTGGGGTATTTATAATTAAAGTGCATTTCTTAAAGACAACATAAAGTAAGGAATTGCTTTTTTATTATCTCTTCCTTGTATATGTATTTAAATCATTGACATAGTGATTACCAATTTCATTAGAATAACAACTACTATATTTATAACTCTGATGCATGTTTTATTTTTATGCTTCTTTCTGTCTTGTTTGGCTTTCACTGAGCATCTTCACTGAGCATCTTATATGATTCTACTTTTTCTCCTCTTATCATATCTATTATACTTCTTTTGTATGGTTTTTTGAGTGCCCTATATATTTTAAACTAATCTAGCTTCGCCTTCAAATAACACTACACTACACAGGTGCTCCAGGTA